TTACGATACAGGCAACTGGATTTATCACTCTGTGTGACCAAAACAGATTTTTATTGCCTAACTGTTGGAGCCACAAAACAGKCACTTTCCACACTTGCATAGCCTACATAGCGCTATGCAAGTGTGCTATCACCTGGCACATATTCTCCTTTGATATAATGCAGCACAAGATGTGGCATCTGCTTTAATAAGTTTTGTGAAATCATGCCGTGTAGCCTGGAAGTYTTGTTGTAAAAATGTAAAACATTAAGTAGTAAGTGAGATTCAATATTGGCTTAAACTTTGTTTTAAATGACTTGAATCATTGGGGAAATGTCTTGATCAGGCCATCCCTATAAGTCACAGGTGGATTTTAAGTGCCTTTTTTTGTCCTCTCTAATAGTTCATCACAGCCTCCATTTTAAGAGTTTAACTGATGAACTAACAAGAGCTTATTAACACTTTTGCTACCCATGTGCACAAACCCCAAGGAGGTCTCTCCTTAAGTCATTTAGCTGACCTTATGTCCCCTCCAGTTCCTTGGGACCCTCAGAAGTTGCTCCTTTCATTGTTCCAAGTTTTAGACTTGGACACAAAAGTGACAAAGCCTTCTGTTAGCTTTGGAATGACATACTGGATAAGGTTTAGCTTCAAACTGAGCTTTGGACTATTTTATATTTTATTTTTAACTAAAACCTATTTTCTGTTTTCAGCTTTTCATAATCATACACCCATCATTAAATGTTTTCCTAAAAGCTGATTTCAATGCAGCTATTTACTTTCTTGTTTTTCCATCTGAAATAAAACGGAAAAGTGTGGAGTTAAATTTCTGTAATTGCCTTGAATTGCTCTATTTATAYGAGCTGAACTCACATGCAAATCACCCTCCCTTCTRAGGCTCTTTAGGGTCTTTGCTGGCCTGGTCAACATGAAGGATTTTTTTTTATTTAACTGCACTGTGATGGTCATTCTATAAAACCCATTTGACTTTGTTCTTGAATATCCATCCAGTTTTATTTCTTTTGCACAGCTTCTATTCATGAAGTGCTTTACCTACGGAGTCTATCTCTAGCAGCCGCTGGAGGTCGCTGATGCTGCGGATCTCGCTGCGGGAGAGCCGATCCAGCAGCTCCTGGGGTAGAGGAGACTCCTAGAAGAACAAATGTTATTCATATAAGTTTAATAGAGAAAAATAAACATTACTGATGCATGCAAAGCAGAAAATATCGATAATAAGCGGATTTTAAACCGCAATATTCGAGTCTGTTTTGTGCGTAATTACGCAAATTCAATCTGCAACTTGCAACACACTTTTCTGAACTCAAGCTTCCTTAAAAAGTAATCTAYAAACCCAAACTTCAATCCCACCTCAGCAGCGGTACGTAAAAGGCAACAGAATCCGGCGAGGAGGTGGTAGACCGCGGCTTTCATCTCCTGTCAGGTCCGCTGCATCGGCACCAGGATGGGGCGAAGGTCCTGTGGAGGAGCCGGGCTGTCGCTCCCTGGGCTTCAGAGCTTAGAACCATCCCTCGGAAGGTTAACCACCTCCGCAGCTTCAGTGAGTGCGACCATAAAACTCGAAATGCGTTTAAATCCCGTTTGAACCTCAGAAATAAAAAAAAAAAAAATCGATCCAGTTTAAGTTCAATTTAGGCACCAAGGAAGAATAAAAAAAGAGTCCCGAATATTCCTAATAGTTCAGTCTTCCAAAGGCATTTAAATCTCTAAAAAATTCCAATAAAACTGAGCTCTAATTGATGTCCAGCCTTTGTGTTTTGTTGTTAGAACAGGTGCTGATGGAAAAACATCCAATATTTTAAACTGTGTGAAAAAAAAAAGTTTCTTCCACCTGTTTTGTTTTGTTTTGTTTACGAGAATCATTCACCAAAACGAGGGAGGAAATAGGTCTAGTTGCGAACTCCCTCGACAGCTGTGATCTCTGGGGGTGAATGAAGTCAGGACGCGTTCAGTTCAAGGATAGAAACTGTGCGCGTCCGCGTGGCACTCATCTGTGAGCGCGCCTCGCCTAATGAGCGTCGCAGAAGAAAACTCAGCATTAACTCACACAGAACTGCATGTGTACGATGTAAATATAACTTTACCACATGACTGATGATGAAAAAGGCAGTTAATAATGATCAGCCTGCGTGGTTCAGAACCAGGTCTCTAATGAATGTTTTCCTTTACAAAAATAACTCGGGATTCATCTTGTTTAAAAGAAATGAAAAAAAAAATGCTGTTACAAGATCAAACTGAGATTCTGGGAAATCAAAAGCAATTTGCTTCAACAACTTCTTTTGTGCTGGTCACAAAAAGCTTGCAGAGGAAAGCATTCACCCACTTTATCCTTAACCTTACTGCACTCTCAGGAATTTGAAATGAGTTAGGCTCCTTCGGTCATTAGGCTTCTGCAAAGAAAGAGAAAAGAAAGAAACAATTCAACAAAATAAAGGCAAGAAGAGGAAGAAGGAGAAGGAGATGGGGAATTATAAAAAATAAATCAAAAAGTGAGGACAGAAAGACGAAATAAGATTTGATTGTTCAAGATGAGGCCTATTTGAATTAAAGTTACAAGTGTGTGTGTGCGCGCCCGCACACACACACACACACACACACACACACACACACACACACACACAGGCTGAGACAGCAAGAGACAAAGAGCCAGAAAGATGCAAGGAATGTGGGTCAGAACCAACTCAATGAATGGCATAACTAACGCCATGACACTGTTACTTCCTCTTGGCTACAACTCTTTTTTATTTTGATGCATTCTAGGTTGTGACTCCTGTCTTCATTTTGTTTTAACCACCTGTGCTGTTTGCACCAGAATCTATGGAAGCCCATTTCCGCCACCCTGATAAAAAAAATAAATAAAACTTGTATCTCATAATTATGACTTAGCTATCTGAGATAGCTAAGTCATAATTATGAGATATAAGTTTTATTTTTTTTATCAGGGTGGCGGAAATGGGCTTCCATAAGAACCTCCTGACAGCTCAAAACAATGGATTTTTGGGGATATTTATCTGTTTTGTTCATCATTTCATAATAAGATAAGGACCCAAATGTTCAGGCAGCCAGACAGACATGTGTTATATTCTATGTCTTTTGGTAGATTTTTGTGTCTTTGATTTCTATTTCATTCTTTGAGATGTTTATTTTGTGCCTTTTATTTTTTCTTGTGTCAAGTTGTCTCCTATGTTTCATCAACTTCAGTATTTTCCACAATCAGCCTCTGCTCTGCAGTCCAACTTCTCCACCTCATACCTGTTCTTACAAATCTCAGATGTAGTCACGCACTATACGAAAGCATAGAGCTGTCAGGTGAACGAAATTATTTTTAAACTGGATCTCATTATAATGAGAAAACCATCTCGTTATAACGAGAAAACCATCTTGTAAAAATGAGAAAACTATCTTGTAAAAATGACAAAACTATCTTGTTATATCAAGACAATACAGAGGCGTAGAGCTGCCACATGACGTGAAATTATTTTTAAACTGGATCTCGTTATAACGAGAAAACTATCTCGTTATAATGAGAAAACTCTCTTGTAAAAACGAGAAAACTATCTTGTTATATMCATCTCKTTATAACAAGTTGTGATTTCTTCTTTTTTGTCACTTTCACGGAAGTTTATTGCCTGGATGGCGTGATGGAGAACACGACTGAACCACTATCTAAACAAAAACGAACAGAATTATTTGGGTTTGTGCTCAGTTGTTGCAGCTAGTAGCACTTAATAATATTCACTCTCTAATCTGAATT